GATTTTGGGATCACTACTTGATATAAGAATGGTATCATACAGCTGGCTGGTGTGTTAGCTCAAACACATATGATATACAGGAAATCCTACTTCCTGCTTTTGTAATTTTTATTTTTGGCTACAGCTTACATCTAATACACAAAGAGGTTTTCTCAATGTACAAAATGCATAAAATAGATAGGAAAATTTTTATCATTTTTAAACCAGTTTTAAGACCTTCGTATTTGTGTGTAATATTTTTCTCTTAAAATTATTGATGTAGTTTCCATAGTTTTCCATGTTGTTGATTGTATAAACACCATCCCAATAGGGAAATATAACTTTCTTAGTTAAAAGAACATCTTTTATTAGAATGACTTTTTAAATCTGTAGTCAGTGTACTTTGCGTATGGCACAAATAAATGTATTTATAAATTAGAAGCTTAAAGAGCTGAACAACATAACTTAGAAAATGGGAATCTTTCAGGGCTTATAATAAGCTAAGCCCTGCCGAACAACATAACTTAGAAAATGGGCTTATAATGGGCTTATAATCTTTCAGGGCTTATAATAAGCTAAGCCCTGGAACTTCCGGTCTTCTCATTTAATTTGGTCTTTACCCCAAGTATGGACATGACCCAAAAGATAATCAATGCAAAATTCATGGAGGAGTTTCTATTTGGAAGCTCTCTGCAGCACTGCTAGAATGTATTACCTTTGTGCTACATGAATTAAAATAATGATGACAAAATCTCAGTTGTTAATTCATCTTAGAGTGGCTGCTGGTGTCAGGACGAGTATATTACATATCTCTTTCATTCATGAAATTAAAGTCTTCAGACTTTCATGTCAGAAAAAGTTTGTCTTTATCTTGAACTCATAAGTTTTGTTTTGTCAGACAGATAAAATGATCATTGACTATTTTGCCTTGGCTGCCAGCAATTTCAGAGCTAGCTTGTAGTACTTATGCAGCTAAAGTTTTCATATAATTATCTTCATCTTCATACTCTCTTTCTCATAACATTGTATAATTTTTGTTTTATTGCTTCTATAATGTGTTTTTTTTTAATTTATAAATATCCTTAATTCCTTTTTGAAAGTTGGTGGTAGATAAATTCAATTAATTCAACGAACAATTATTGAGTACCTAATTCTTGCTGTTAAAGTAACTCTGTTACACTGGTAATAGTGAAAAGGGCAGGCTGTAGCTTCAGAAAGATGGGGGAAAGAACCTGTTTTCAGAAATTCATAGGGAATGCATTGGATCGTAAAAATGTGTATTTTGCCTGGCACTTAAAGTGCCCATGTTTATTCTCTTATTGCTAGTCAAAAGTCACCATTAGGGTAGATTGCCATTATCAATGCCTCTATGTTTTCTAGAGCCATTTTGTTCTACTCAGATTTAAAGTTCAGGACTGAAAGCTGGGTCTCACATAATCTCTGAGAGCAAGGCACATCCAGCCCGGCCTTTTCTGTTCTTAGACGTCTGTCTACAGAGACGAATGAAGCCGGCCTTTATGGGCGCACTGCCCTAGGCCTTTCAACTTCACTCTGGGGAAGAGATGGCATGTGTGAGATGACCAGGGAAGTCTTTGAAGAAGATGATAGTTTTGTCAGATAGGTATTATAAAATGATGTTAAAAAGAGAAGGCATCCCTACTTTGAGTCTAAAAAGGAAAGAAAGCCTTTTTTTGTTGTTCACATTGATCTTTTATGAAGATGATTCTCTTATGCTTTGTGCAACTTTTGAATGTGTACCCAGCCCTTTGAAAACACAAACACTACATAAAGGCGTAGAGGATTATAAATATGGTGGTAGCCAATGGATGGTTGGCCGATTGCATCATTTATAACAACATGGGAATTCATACTTTTTGAAATATAAATTTAATGTATCTTTTCACTAATCCATCACCTAACTTTGAAAAACTAGATTCGTCAATTATTCTGACCTAGATATCTCATTCCCTGCCCATATGAAAGAGAATCTAAGTATTGCCTGAATTTTTCTGAAACTGATTACCCTTTAAGTCAGGGGTGGGGAACGTCTGGCCCAGGGGCCATACAAGGACTGCAAAATCATTTGGTCTGGCCCTGCCAAGGCATTAGGGGTGAGTTAATTAAATGTTTCATCAAATATAGCAGGCTAATTTTTAAGTTGATAATTTTGTGTGGCTTGTAAATGATGTTATAAATACCCAAATGGCCCTTGAAAGAAAAAATGTTGCCCATGCTTGCTTTAAGTGAACATCCTTGTCTTCATTCCTCACCTTCTCATTCTGGCTATTGGCCTTTTACAGTGGTTCTCAACCTTCTGGCCCTTTAAAACAGTTCCTCATGTTGTGACCCCCAACCATAAAATTACTTTCGTTGCTACTTCATAACTGTTATTTTGCTACTGTTATGAATCGTAATGTAAATATCTGATAAGCAGGATGGTCAAGTGAACATCCTTGTCTTCATTCCTTACCTTCTCATTCTGGCTATTGGCCTTTTACAGTGGTGCTCAACCTTCTGGCCCTTTAAAACAGTTCCTCATGTTGTGACCCCCAACCATAAAATTACTTTCGTTGCTACTTCATAACTGTTATTTTGCTACTGTTATGAATCGTAATGTAAATATCTGATAAGCAGGATGGTCTTAGGCGACCCCTGTGAAAGAGTCATTCGGCCCCCAAAGGGGTCGCGACCCACAGGTTGAGAACCACTGGTTTATGAAGACCTTTACGTGATAGGCAGAATAGGTCTCCCACCCCAGAACATACACATCGTAATCTCCACAGCCTGTGAATATGTTATATTACCTGGCTAAAGGAAATGAAGGCTGCAGATCTCATTAAATCTGCTGATCAGTTTACCTTGAATAAGGAAATTTTGCTGGTAATCTGGGTTAGCCCAATGTGATCTTCAAGTGCAGAGGAGAGCAGCAGAGTGAAGTGACATGAGGGGAGCTTGGCCTACCTTTGCTAGCTTTGAAAATTGAGGAAGGGGTCCCCGCAAGCCAGGCTATGCAGGAGACTTCCAATACCCGGAAAAGGCAAGGCAACCTGTACCCCGGAGTCTCCAGAAAGGAAGACGCTGCTGACACCTTTGATGTCACTTTTGACATAAAAACAAAACAAAACACACACAAAAAAACCGTGTCAAATTTCTGACCTATAGAACTGTTAGATAATAAATTTGTGTTGATTAAAAGCTTAAATTTTAAGCCACTAAATTTGTGGTAATTTGTTATGGCTGCAATAAAAAGCTAATACCTTTACCGATGTTCAAGAGAAAGAGATAAAGATGAATCTCAAGGCGCTCCATC